ATGAGCTTTAGAGACACGGTATCATCATCATCTGCGAGAATCAAGAGCCACGTTATTGAATATACAACACGGGCACTTCACGTCATCGTACGTGGTCTCCGAGGAGGATATGAACGAATATGTGCAGATGAATGAACCATACTTAATCCAATGAATTAATGAATCAAAGTTTTCAGGAACCCGCCGAAAGCCAAAAAACGGCGGAGCCAGGATTTGAACTCTGGGCCTCCCAATGTCCGGTCGGGTGTGCTAACCACTACACCACTCCACCTTGGCTTTCTGGCGTTTCCTACCTGTCTTATTAATGCACAAGAAACGAAATGTATCCAATCGGAGGTGTTCTGGAAACACACGCCGCCGCGTGGAACGCGGTACGACGCTTAGTGTCACGTGGTACGTGCTCGTTTGTGCTCCAGAAATCCTCCCACTGTTTGTCTCGCCCCGTGTACATGTAGTAGTATTCTTTGTTTATGAGCTTTAGAGACACGGTATCATCATCATATGCGAGAATCAAGAGTCACGTTATTGAATATACAACACGGGCACTTCACGTCATCGTACGTGGTCTCCGAGGAGGATATGAACGAATATGTGCAGATGAATGGACCGTACTTAATCCAATGAATTAAAGAATCAAAGTTTTCAGGAACCCGCCGAAAGCCAAAAAACGGCGGAGCCAGGATTTGAACTCTGGGCCTCCCAATGTCCGGTCGGGTGTGCTAACCACTACACCACTCCACCTTGGCTTTCTGGCGTTTCCTACCTGTCTAATTAATGCACAAGAAACGAAATGTATCCAATCGGAGGTGTTCTGGAAACACACGCCGCCGCGTGGAACGCGGTACGACGCTTAGTGTCACGTGGTACGTGCTCGTTTGTGCTCCAGAAATCCTCCCACTGTTTGTCTCGCCCCGTGTACATGTAGTAGTATTCTTTGTTTATGAGCGGGGGATCGGTGGCCGAGTGGGCTGAAGCGCACACCCAGCTCGACGCGCGTGGAGCGAAAGCTCGCGCTGCAGAACCCAGGGATCCTGGGTTCGAGCCCCACCCCTGCCCGTTTCGATCTGGATGAGCATCGTACCGGCGTGCGGTCGTGTATCACTACTGCGTGGTGCACGTTAAAGACCCCAGGCTAGCGGTTGTACCGCACTGGCTAAATTGCTCATCTACAGCGTGTGACTCGTCGCAACTTTAATGGCAGACCAACTACACGCTGTATAAATATCCCCACAACCCAATTATTAATTATTATTGTTTATGAGCTTTAGAGACACGGGAAAAGGATACGGCATTTAGTGGGATGGGGGAAGGTGTTAGTCTGTAGGGCACGGTGATGTCGTTCCTGCTCTTTCGATAGTTGTTCATGCGGGGGTGGGTAGGTACCCCCCCCCCCCCCCCCCGGCTACGTGTCTGCCTCCTACCATATGAAAGAGGGTCCCCCATATATATATATATGGGGGGAAAATCGTCTAATCCCTTCCAGTCTTCATACGAGCTTTGGGAAAGAGCACTGACCAGCTCCAACTTCGATGACCAGCTCATGCTCGTGTCGAGGGCGGTGAAAGCAGGAAACGCTCAAGGCGTCTTGGACTAAGGACCCTCCTCATCGCTTTCTTGTAATAAAGATGTTTATTCTTTCTCTCTCCAAATGAAAGGGAGAGAGAGAGAATAAACATCTTTATTATAAGAAAGCGATGAGGAGGGTCCTTAGTCCAAGACGCCTTGAGCGTTTCCTGCTTTCACCGCCCTCGACACGAGCATGAGCTGGTCATCGAAGTTGGAGCTGGTCAGTGCTCTGTCCCAAAGCTCGTATGAAGACTGGAAGGAATTAGACGATTGTGTGGGGTTTTGGTCGCATCCTACCAGGCGCGTAGCCAGAATTGGGGGAGGGAGGGCGGGGGGGGGGGGGGGGGGGGGGGGCCGCCCATTACAAGATACTGTATGAGGGGGGAGAGAAGGTCCCAGCAAAATAGAAGATTTCGGGGGAAACCCGGGCCCCATGCCCCCCCCCCCCCCCCCCCTGGCTACGTGTCTGCCTCCTAGCATATGAAAGAGGGTCCCAGGGGCTCCGCAAAAGCTGCAGAGCGGGGAATAGAAGGTGGGGAAAAGGATACGGCATTTAGTGGGATGGGGGAAGGTGTTAGTCTGTAGGGCACGGTGATGTCGTTCCTGCTCTTTCGATAGTTGTTCATGCGGGGGTGGGTAGGTACCTCTCTCCAACCTGTAGTGCTGCGTGATCTCTTGACATGTTACCAATGGGACCGGCCGCTCCCGCTCGTCTCCCAGGGCCCGGCGGGATACCTCTCGGGCCAAGAGGTGGGCGGTTGCATCGCCTGGTACAGCGGAGTGGGCGGGTGTCCATATGATAGTGATGAGTCTATCCGGCGGGTGTTTGGAGATGACCCGTTCTGTTGTACGGTGGATTCTTCCTCTCGAGAAATTACGACACGCGTGCTGCGAGTCGGTAATGATGACTTCGGCTGTAGTTTGCGCGATGGCAAGAGCGACGGCCGCCTTTTTCGCTTGTAAAGGTTCGTATCTTGGTAGTGTGATGATGCTGACATGGTGATCTTGTTGGACGACGACGGCTGTCATGGCTCTTATGCCGGGATAAGAGGCCGCGTCCATGTATGCGGTGGTTGCTTCGTGACCATAGAGTTTATATATGGCTAGGGTTCTCGCCTACCTTCGTCCAGCATGATGCACGGGGTGCATGTTGCGGGAGAGCGGTGAGATGAAGAGGTGTCTCCGGATCTCGTGCAAGAGAGTCGTGGTTTCAGGAGGATGCTGTAGAGAGGTTGTGAGTCGCAGTCGAGAGCAGTCTTCCTGCACCCGTGGCTCTCAGCCCCATTCTTTGGCTGGAAAGATGGGCTTCTATGAGCTCGTCAGCTGTATTGTGTAGGCCAAGTTTTAACAGTTTGTCGGAGGCCGTGCTGACGGGAAGTCCGAGGGGCTGTTTGTAGGCTTTCCTGATCATTAGAGTCACCTTCGAGAGTTTTGTTTTTATAAAGACTGCATAAGGTATGGCATACGTAATGCGGGAGATTATGATTGCCTGGACTTGGCGAACCGTGTCGGCCTCGCGCATACACCTCGTTTTGGTGGTTATACGTGCGATCAAGTGGGTGACTTGGGCTGTGGTGTGTTTGAGCCTATTTATCAAGATGGTGTTCGCGCGGTCGGCCTGAAAGGTCATACCGAGAATCTTGATATGTGGAGATGGAACGATGACGTGGCACTCCATGGAGATGGTGAAAGTGGGTGGGTCCAGGAAACCTTTCTTTCTTGGAGAAACGAGGAGTAGTTCTCATTTCAGTGGAGCACATTGGAGGCCGCATGACTTGGCATGATCACAGACCGCATCGGCTGCCGTTTGCAGACCCCGTGCTGGACCAGATCGTAATGTCATCGGCATATATGCCATGATGTACGCTGGGAATGGAGTCCAAGAGGGCAGGGAGACCGATGAGCGTAATGGTGAATATCAAAGGTGAGAGTACGGCCCCTTGAGGGGTACTTCGGCTGCCAAGTAGGACTGGGTCTGTGGAGAGGTCTCCAACCTTCAGCATCGCGCTACGCCGGGAGAGAAAATCTTAATGTACTGATAGGTTCTATGGCCGCAGTCGAAGGTATTAAGTTGTGAGAGGATGGCAGTGTGTTTAACATTGTCGAATGCCCCCTTGAGGTCTAGAGCAAGAATGCCTGTGTGTGAGTTGCGCGCAGCTGTGAGTTGCGCGCAGCAGGCAGCATTACCTCTCCCTTAAGCTGGAGTAGAACGTCTTGCGTCGAGTGTTGTAGGCGTTACCGAAAACATTGACGAAACACGTTACTTTGTTATTACGTTACATTACCATCCTACGTTATTTGAAAATAAAAGTAACGCGTTACCGTTACCAATTAAAAATAACGCACGCTAATTATGCGCTACCTTCTTGAATAAAATTAGCACGTTTTACTGTTTCAACATTACAGGTATACGTAAGCGCCATATTTCAATAACATTATATCCATGCAGAAATTTAACAAGACTACTTCTTTTACGGTTTTACCGATAATCTCAGCAAAAAAAAAACTCAAATTCACATGGCTTGATGCCTAAAAACAAGAAAAAAAATTAAGTGTAATTTGGTTTATGACTTGGGAAGAAAAAGTATCGAGAAACGAAACTCAGTTACTCGTTACTCGAAGTAAATAACGCAAGTACGTTACCCGTTACTGTTTTGAAAAAGTAACGAAAACGTTACACGATACCGAAAAAGAGTAACGCGTTACCGATAGTGCGATCAGAGAGCTCAACAATGTATGGTTTGTCGCTTCCTTTTGTACCTTTTTGCGCTGTTTTATCTCGCGTGCTGGCGGTAACGCGTTCCTACGCGTTACAGATAGCACTGGCTGTAACGCGTAACAGCACACATACAACTGTTCATAACATTCGCTCAGCAGGGCTTGAACCAAATGCAATCAAAGGGTTAGGATTCAGCTTTATTAAATTGGAGACTGCGCAATCCTCTCTCTTAAATCTTCAACTAATGTAAATGTTCCGTGTTCGGTAACTAAAGTACCTTGAGTCGGGTTCATCATAATTTCAATATTTGCAAGGTAGTCAAACACACCTAAGGTCGATAATGATTTGTTCACGAAAATATTCCATGTGCTACAGCGGCTTGAACTTTTTTGAATTAAGTATAGCTGTCTAGCACCTTACTGGCCTCACCTTACTACTATGGATGTATATAATACGTTTTTTAGGTTTCTATATGAGTTCCACGTTTTATATTAAACATCATCCTTTGTGTATATATCGCACGCCTCTATTGTTTCTCTATGCTTCATTTCAAATTGCACTAAGAACAGGTTAACATTGTTCAATGAGGAACATACATCTTATATGTTGCCAAACTTAAGTACATGGTAAGTCAGGTGTGTACATATGAAATGTGCCTAGTCCCTACACACCCTGAAAAATGTGGTAGGAAATACAGGCCTGGCAGTCGACATACCTGCTGATATTGATGAACGAAGCTGTTTTCTTCATAAGAGAAAACGCCTCACGGTTGAACATCCCCGTCGTCTCCGGAGTGAGTGTGCACGTCACAATAACTATGTCCGACATTCTCAGCAACTCATTCAGCCTTGTGAACTGGGCTCCCTCCATTTCAGCTTTTGAAAATGATAAGAAAAGGGAATACTACTCATAATATTCTTCCAGATCAAAAGTCTAGGAAGAATTAGGAAGTTAAATAAAATAGTGCCAAACAGTCAAAGTTGAATATATAATTTTAGTACCACTGCGTACAAATGTAGATGTATGTTCAATATGATTATGATTATTACAATGATTATTATATTGTCTAAATCTTTAATGGATAAACATATATGACCAACGTGACATTAATATACATACCAGTGGGTTTGTGAGTTCGTGAGGTGTACAGAAATTTGCTCACTTTGAAAGCTTTCAGTCTCTCGAGAACTGCTAGCCCTGAAACACGAAGAAAGAACATTGAAGCCTTAGCTACCATGGTAATTTTCATGATTTGTCATTAGTGAAATGTGTGCAGAAGCCAATGAACGCTTGCAGTACAGTACAATGTAACAACATCTGTTGTGTCCCCATTTCATTTCTTTTATCGGTTAATTGTCAAACATATATGCTACGACCAAAAGGCAACTTTTGTGGATGGCGTATGGGTCCTTCAGCAAAAATAAGCAACTTGGAACATAACAATGCTACGAACAAGCACATGACTTTTAAAAAATTAAAAGGGGCCATGAAACGATTCTTCTACTTTCGCTAAATTCTACTCAGAATGACCCCCTAACGTAATAACCAAAACACTTGCCTTACATTTTTTAATGCGAAAGCATTAACTCGTCTCATGGAGCGAGCCGACGTCATCAGCTTTGAAACCAAGCAAAACGGCACCTTAATGAAACCACGCGCAAAGCTAGCCAACGGCATCTTTTACACTTCGGTCCCATTAACTGGCGCGCGTCAGTTTGTGTGATGTCATCCTAACTGTGTTATCACACTGTTATGTTATCACTGATCACCGAGTTCGCTCGCCTCTTATCGGTTGAACGGCGCGTGGCAATATACGGCGCATGGAATAAACCAAGGGCTTCGTTTTGCTGGGAACTACGTTGCTGTCTGTTCCTGCCTCGCACCGCAAGGCACACAACAGTTTGAACGATCGTTCACCCGATGGCGCTGCGTGTCCGCGAGGCAGCGGCTCCAGCGTTAAACGCCCAAGGTCAGGGCGTTGTACGCCGCAGATTAAAGAAGGGAGTGAAGAGCGGCGTGCGTGCTTTCGCATTCACAACTCATAGGAAGTGCTTAGGTGTATCTCGAGCCTTTTTTTTTAAGTAATGCAGGCGGCAAATAAATTAAAGAAATATCCCCTCAACCCGAAGCCAGAACAAGCGGCCACGTGTCATGGTGCTTATCTCTGCATATGCCACCAACGTTAATCATAGCCACGCGCTGGGGTTAGCAAAGTAGAAAACGCATGCTGAGCTCCAGGCACTGTTGCAGCTCGGCTATTCTCATCACTGCAGTAGTTGGACACAAGCTGCTACCCGAGTGTCCACCGAGGTATTGATTGTTACAAGCCCAAGTCGAGTGTTCACGCAGTTCTCGTTCAATTCATGAGTTGCACTCGACTGTCATCAGGCGGGTGGTTTCGATCCCACAATTACGTCATAAAGCTTTGCGAAGGCAAGACTGAAAGAAATTGCCCCCTTTTATCCTCCCAGTTTCACCTCGACAAAGCTTCTGAATCAGTGGCGGTTCGTGCGAGTATATTTGGGCCAGACTAGGACGGGTACGCCTCTGTAAAGCCATGAACATTCCAACCAGATGTCGTTTCATAACTTTTTTTTATAAATAGTATTCAATCTTACATTCTTTATCAAGATTTTTTCGCTGTACTGCACGCCCCTAAAAAAAAAACTTTTTTTTATTTTATGGTATGAAATAAATGTTTCACTCTGAAACGCAATGCAGTAGTATTATTTATTCCTGGCTAAATTAGAATACTCCATTAAAAAAGATAGATGAGTATCTATGCACGTCCTAATGTTATCTAATAAGCAAAGGCAATTCTTCCATGTCACCATATATATATACAGGGTGAAACAAGGAGACGCCAGGCTCTTAAAATCGACCGGAAAATTCGGTTTCTTAACCTATCGCGCTACGACTTTGTGCAGCGTTGCCCAGAGATGGTGCATTTTTTTGTGTAAAATTTGCAAAGAGCGAACTTACCTGAGGAAAAAGTAAAGAAAGAAAAAGGCTTAGCTCCTATGGAAACGCAGCGAAGCCACCGGTTTGCAAAGAACACGGCGCAATTTCGCACGGGAGACAAGAGATTGCGCAAGCGGTCGAGACGCCAACTGCTGCCAACGAACGAGCAGACGACGCCGAGAGCCGGCCCTTTTGCAGACAAGGAACTGCAGTTCCTTGGTGTTACCGCGCCTGTCTTTTTTGTTTCTGCGACTGTCACCGCCTGCGGAACGCGCGCCGCTTTTGAGTCGACAAGATCGTCTGATAAAAAGGCCTGCTCTCGACGCCGTATGCTCGTTCGTTGGCGGCGTTTGTTGCGCCATCTATTGTCTCCCGTGCGAAACGGCGCCGTGTTGTTTGCAGACCGGTGGCGTCGCTGCGTTTCCATAGGAGCTAAGCCTTTTTCTTTGTTTACTTTTTCCTCAGGTAAGCTCGCTATTTGCAAATTTTACAAAACAAATGCACCATCTGTCGGCAACGCTGCACAAAGTCGTAGCGCGATAGGTTAAGAAACCGAATTTTCCGGTCGATTTAAAGAGCCTGGCGTCTCCTTGTTTCACCCTGTATACATAAACTCAATAAAATTTTGAAATATATTTGTGTATGCTGTCACCATATTTAAATGCAATTCTAATTATTTTAAAATGCGTGGTGGTGGTCCCATTCTGTTACCGCAATATTCCAACAGATAGCTTACCTGCCATAGAGAGCAAATTAATTAAAAGAAAGGGTGAGCAAACGGTCAGTGTTAAACCCGAAAAACTTGTAAAAATGCTCATCTCGGATCCTCACCCCCTCCTGCATACATTAGCTGCTGTAGACCCGGCCCTAAATTTTATATTATTTTAATTCCAAACGAACAACTATGTTTGTTCCTACATCATTTAAAGCTAGGTACCCAAGAAACAGTCCTTCATTGCTAATTTTGTCGCATAAAGCTGTTTGACAAGGACAACCTTTCTAAGGCCGGATACTGTTTTAAAACTTTTGTCAACTGCAAAAAAATTAACCCAAAACCAAGGGAAGCCAATTCATTGTGATTTCCTTTTTGGAATATCACTGTAATTGTAAAATAATAAAGTTGCCTGCTTAGTTCATCTATTAAAAATACGGCGGGCTCCACAGGGGGCTAATTATTCGTAAATAATTTTCTTCATATCTTGATAAAAAGCTGCACATTACTAAATAAATTACCTCGTCACTGTACCAAAACGTGTTCCTGATTAGTCTTAACAAGGAGTCTTCAAACCCCTGCCGGCGGGCCAGATCCGGCCCGCAGGGGTCTTCCGATCGGCCCGCGGCCCGCTGCCCGCTTCCAGCAGACCAACTGCTACCGGCGCCTAAAGATGTGCGCCTAATGAAACGGAGCCGCGACGCGCCCGAAATGCGATAAGAAGATACCAGAAAGAACGAGGAAAAACTGCATCGTATTGGGGTTCTCTCGCCATGACTGAACATTGTCATCACCAGCATCACCATCCTAGTCCCTGACATTATGTGTGTCTAATTATGCTAAAATTGCTTCGCGTTTTCATGTACATCATGTCCGCATTAGTTTTATCATTGTCATATATCTTTGCAGTGCGCGATTGTGCCGAAGTATCCATGCACTTTCATATATGCCTGGTGAGTTTTCGTGGTCGCAGCTGTTGTGAAAAGTCATAATTAGCTAAATATTAACTTTCATATTTAAAAGTATGTTTTCATTCAACTTTAGTTTCGTTTAATACTGACTCTAACATTCATTTCTGTTTCTAAATTATTGCCTTTTATTCAACTGGTCGTAACTCGTTTATAATTACCCTCTCTCTCCTCCCAGCCCTCGAGACTGGGAGAGATGCCTAATCCGGCCCCTTAGCCAAAACGTTTGGAGACCCCTGGCCTAAACAGTCAAGTAGAGTGATAAAGCTACCGATGTTATGTTATATAAGAGTACTTAAAAATGTTGTTTATTTTTTGTAAGGCACTATTATTTGTAGTGATCAGAATATTCCATGTGCTGTCTGTATAACATTTCTTCTGGTGCATAGTACAGATAGTTTAGTTTTAAATAAAATGTTTCCTACAAATATAGATCCAATTTTACATTTATTAGATAAAATACCACCCCATAGGGTGTGCATGAAATTAACTTGGAAGCTGAGTTTGTGGATCATGTTGCAAAAAATGGGGGTAACTCAAATAGGATTTAAGAGCCAATAGCTTAACCTCCGTTTTGTTGTTTATAAGCCTTAGGTTCTTCAAAACATCCTTTTTTTTTCATTTAAAGCTATTAGCCTTTTTTATTATTTGCAAGTAAGTGTTATTTATGTTATCCTATAACAATTTTAGCGGATTTTTACAATAATATAATTAACGCTTGAAGTTAGATGAACATCTCCCGAACATGTACCTTGCATTAGCGAACTTCAGTTCTTAGAAAATATGAAGGCATGTTTAAGTACTACATGACAAAGAATAAGAGTTTGAAGGCACAAACGAAACATAAACCGCACTGCACTAAATTGAGCTTATAACCCTGACGGAAATAAGAAGCGCAATGTTAGTGACAGCATGGTCAGGCGCAAACGAAACATAAACCGCACTGCACTAAATTGAGCTTATAACCCTGACGGAAATGAGAAGCGCAATGTTAGTGACAGCATGGTCAGGCGCAATGAAATTCAAAGTGATATGTAGCACCAATGTGCGCAGCCTGGCATTTGCTCATTTATGCTCTTAGGAGCGCTGAAGAGAAGCTGTAATATTAGGAAAAGGCAGATTTATGACTGAAGTGAAGTCAATTTTGGGAAGAGAACATTACTAACATTAGGGGAGTGACCCCTGTCATGTAGCAAAACGTGGGATGGAAGTGACCTTGCTCTCAAAGAGTGCTGAATTTTTTCTGCTTCTACGGTTGCTCTAGCTACCATTTGCCATCCACACATGCTGTCACCCTTTCTTCCTCCTTTGGATTATTTCTTTCTTGCGTATCCACATCTAGTGATCTTTGTAGTATGTGCAAGTTCTCTGATTTATTCGGGAAGTTTCTCATGTCCTCCGGTGCAACCTATCTCACACCAGCACATTATGCTTGTATCACACTTTTTCCTGTCAGTGGGGAATGGGTGCACCAACCCTTCTTATCAGCCTCCATACGTGAGTGCATGTCTGCGATAACAAACACGCACCATGGCAGAGTTGACGTCAATTCCTTATATCGCTGCTCACTATTTATGTTCCTAAAATAAGCTGTCTGTCTGCTGAAAATTATATAAAAAGAAAACTCAGAAGACTTGTCGCCAGTGCAAACAGAGCAGCATTGGATAACACTATTATGAAACACATTCCAACAATAAAAAGAAGCCGCCACGGCAGCTCCGACGCAAAGCTCCGACCTGCGGAACTTTTTCTATGTGCGAATCCCAGCTGAGGTGCCCAGACCTTGATGGTTTATAGCAGAAGGTGCCGCGTGGCCGAACTTCTGTCTCCACGTCAAAAGGCGCCCAGGTAGTCAAAATTAATCCTTAGTCATTTGCAAGCTCGGGCCAGATCCGAATCGTTGGTTTGACCCGTAAAACCCCCCGAATCTGCCTTTCTCCGTAAAAACTTATATACGAACCCAGTAAGACTGGTCACCGTGAAGCGTCGGTGAAAGCTAACTTAGTTCGAGGAACACGAGAATGGCTGCCAAACTTGCCTATGTTTCCCATGCCCACAAACCCGACCGTAGTTCCCCGGATTTCCGAGCCACACATCCACATTGGGCTCCAGGAGGTCTGTGCTGCCCACGCTCCGCTAGGAACAAATATAGAAGAGATGAGTAAGAGTGCCCCTCTTTCTACCGTATACAGTCAAAACAGTACCTGTCGATCTGACTGCGGGCCTCAAAAAGTCGTCTGCGCGTCGCCAAAAGCAGGGCTATTCCCAGCTCAGCCGTTGAATCTGTCAGCTCGTGCGGCGTATTACCTACTGAAATCCGTCTGCAATGCACACAGTCAACAGCAAATTATTCCAGTCAGAATCAGGGGTGGAATGGCTACGTATATTGTATGACAAGCTTAGAAAAGCACAGCAAATCGACATTTGTTGTTGTTGTTTTTTTTTCCTTTAAAGTAACCCGTCGTTTTTGGGGCTGTCTGCAAACCACAAAGGAAGGGCAGCTTAGCATGCCTGCGCCAGTCAGAACACTTTGCCGTCATGCAGTTGTTTCGGTTTACATTGCTATTTACAATCTATTCTAACGATGCTAAAAAAAAAAATAAGAATCATTAGAAAACTAATTACGTGCTAAGGTAAGTGCTCACACTGTTGATCGTGCGAGATTGTCCTCCGAAAATGGCGAAAGCGGGAAGCAAGGGTCAGGAACGAGGGTGAGCGCATACGCAAAGGCCTACTGGAAGAAGGCCCATTGGCGAACTACAAAACAGTTTTCAATATATCACCAGCTTCCTCTGCAGTGTGCATACAGATGGCCGAAATCTGGCGCACCCACAAACAAGACGACCAATGTCTGTCTGTAGCGCTGTGTTCACCTTTTTTGGCATTCATCCACATCGATGTGGTCGTATCCAACCGACATGGTCCCCACTACCTTGAGAGCTGGACCTGGAAAATATTGGTGCACTTACATGTTTTAACTGTTAGCGCTTAAGCAACACGAAAGATAAAGTTGGAGTAGTTTACCAGCGGCATCCAAGAGTTGCGCGTCCACCTTATCCGTGCGCAGGCAAAATAAAGCATCTTTGCCGACTATCTTTTGAAGGAGCAGCGACCGCGGAATCGGCTCGTTCTGTACGTCTATGTCGCACCTGAATGAAACACAAGAACTGCATTAGAAGCGCGTCGCCTCTTCGAACATAGTCCAGTCACCTCTCTGCGAGAAGTTTAATGGCTTCGGTAGGAATATCCGGGTGCGTCACAAGCACGATCGGTCTTCGTGTAGGTCTCATTTCAGATAAGCCTAGTGTCTATCGTACTAGACGAAAGCAGGACACAGCTGTAGCTACGTATGCTAACCTCATGACAGTAAAGGCAATCTACAGCAGTGTTCGCAAGTGTTTTTCGCTCGAATCCCCAGTCACTTTTAAAAAAAAAACCACATGTCCCTACATTTGCCCCAAAAAATCTCTACGCGAGTCCCTACCCACAAACACAAAAAAAGTCTACATCATGAAAACAACAACGCGCAAGCTTCATGCGTGCAACTACACGCAACTACTAGTGGAATATTTATTCAATTAGACATTTTAATACCTTGTCTGCTAATGCATTGAGAGAAAATAGGCAAATAAACCACAATTCTTGGCCAGATCCAAATATGCGTCAGTTTTTTTAATAATTTCTTTTAGGTTTTTTGTTTGTTTGTTTGTTTTGTTTTGTTTATGTGTAATACTTTAGTTACGCGCTCAATCTTGCAAAACCTTTCTGGGTAAACTTACAAATAAAAAAATCGCCTTTTGCTTTCGCTATGGCATTGACGAGGTAAGTTGTGGGAACCACATGTTCCCCGCACCCCTATCTATAGGCCTAGCTCAGGCAGGCCGTGGGGCGTCGCCACGTGGGGGCGCGTCCCGGATGCAAGGGCGAAGCCGTATTCCCTGGTGGACGGCTTTCGCTCGACGCTCGCCCTTCTCGGGTGATTTGCCTAAGGCATACCCTTCGGGATCATGACTTGGACGCGTCCGCCCCTCCGGGGAGCCACCTACATCCGACCCTTCCCGGGCGCGTCCATTCCCGCAGGCTATATAAGACGGCCCTAATCCAACGTGCGGGACTCTCGCTGGGGGAGGCTCTGCTCGACGGAGCCTTCATATCCTTATCTGATCCTCACCCTCCGTGATACTGTCAATAGCGGCAGCGCCGTCATCTCCAACATTGTTGGCCTTCGGGCAAGCGTGTGGCATCTAAGTCAAATAAACACGTCTTTATCCGTACCCAAGGAACCTTCTGTGTTTCTAAGTGGTACCCCCATAAAAGGGGAAACCCACAAAGTTTAAATGAAGGTAACGTATAACTTCCCATCCACCGCCTGCGAAATATTAATGCATAATTAAGCCTCTTTTAAAATACAGATTTGTTGTTTTGCTACTATTTTTAATGATGTTAATCATTTCAGTTCTGGCAAAGCCAAGGCTGTGCGAATTATTTTCTACAGGCGCAATATAAAGAACGTTTTCCTGCCTTCAATCTCCATGATAGTTTTCGAGCTTGAGTGCCTGTCTTTTGGGTTGCCTGTCGTATGGTCGTGCTCTCATGCCAATATACTTTTATATAAGTTCTTGAAGCGTGGATTGTACACGTAGTATTTAATGCATCAAATATGTTGTAACAACCTTTTTGTTTCATTAGTTTTTTAAATATTTTTTTTCTCACGTACAGTCGGATTCTGCAATCACTTTCGTACGGTCAGTGTACGAGGGGGAACCCATAAGTAACCGGAATGAATCTCTAGAGTGCGGGCTGTTCGTAGAACCAGCTGTCGCTGCTAGCAGCCCTTAGCGGCACGCCTCTCGGGTCAGTTTGCCGACAGGCGTCGTCTGCTAAACTTCTAGCGACATGTTGTGAATTTTTTTCCAAAACTTCTTCCAAATAATTTCTCGTTTTTTGCAACGTCTAACTTAAAGGACCTTTCACATCCACGAAGAGTTTTCCTTTCAGGAATTATTTTGGTCATACGCGCGAGCAGACGAGAGTCAAACATGGGGCGAGGTCCGGTGAAGCGGTGTCATGAACATTTCTGTTCAAAAATTGTTGCACTGACAGGACAGTGTTTGCTGGGGCATTGTCGTGATGGAACCACCCCTCCCCCTTTCGCACGAATCGGGGCGTCTCTGCCTCACGGAGTTGCGCGAGCGTCGCAAAACCTCCCAGGTAAAACACCTGAATAACCGTTTCACAATGTGCTGTGCGATGCGTATATCCAACTGTGCTGTACGCATACCCATCTGGGTCGAGAAGCGCGACGCGGCAGCTGCTCTGTGTGGAACAGTGTTGACGGAAGCGTCGTTGCGGCGCCAAGAGATTTTTTTTTTTTACGTATATAACGTAGTTGATGGCAAATAAATACTAAAGAAACTGAAAAAAAAAAAGTTAGTTTGTGTTTAACACAATTTCTGAAAATAAAAATATAAAATTTACAGAAGCTGTAAAAGCCCCTAGGTTTTCCAGTAAACATGACAGGGCGTTTCTACGTCGCTCCTGGACCAAAATATCGCATCCCTACGTCTAGGGACATGTCCCTACAGTTGGTAACATGACTGTGCGGGGAGGGCATGAAATGCCAGAGAGCCAGGTGGTGCATGCGGGCTCTGCCTGCCGCTCGCAAATTGCGTGGGAGGCACGGCCGCGTGAGGTCGCCACACAGTTTTGCTTGTCAAAAATCGTTTTATACGCCATATTTGACGACACGCGACATGATCCCGAGGAAGAACGCGAAATGCAAACACGCATCCTATTGCGTCCTATTTTGAAAGAACGAACGCTCACGCGCATAGAGTTATTATAATGTACGCTAGAGGTTCAACTGGCGCTAGTGTCTATGCGACTTCCGGGAGGCAAATTGTAGCAGAGAGCAACCAGTCTACTTTCGCGGTGCTCCTGTGCATTCCTATGGAAAAACGCGCGTGCATTTTGACTCTTCACCGGAAAATAACATGGAACACTTTTGTTATAGTTAGCGTATTTTTCTTCATCGATGAACGATGTTTAACTTCGCTATATTTCAAGCCTAAACCTCTGTTCCACAGCAGGTGTGTAAAAACAAGCGACGATTCTAAGCAAAACAACAATCGAAAGGAAGTGTGTTCAAGGCTCGCCAGACTCCCGGTGACGCTTATATATTAATAATATGCCACTCTTGTTACTATATAAAAATGAGCCCTTCTTGCATCTTTAGGAGCGTTAAAAACATTTAAAAAGTAAAGAACAAAGTACGTGGTGTATGAAAGGCGTCTCTTTCTAATATTTTCTCTGCTGGGCAGTCTTCATCGGGCATTCGAGCGTGCGGGTGATGTTTTGAACGTAGAACAAGCATATTCGCACCGAGCAGAAAGAATAAAGCAGTACTTATTGAAAATCTGACTATATTACCTGGCCTTTCATTTATTCTGGTCGTACATGTTACTGCGTAGTTCTTGCCGTCTTAGTTTTCCAGATGTCCTTCGTTCGTTTGGCACGTATATCCCCCATGCTGGAAAGCGCTGACGCCGTGTTCGCGCTAACACTGTCCGCAAGTGCACATAAATACATGTACGAAGCCGTTTTAGCACCGTTTTTAATGTAATTAAATTGAAATAAAAACGTCGTAACTGACGATTTATTTCATCTGAATGACTGAGAAATGTTCCAAGCTACCTAGTATGTACGTACGAATTATTCGGGATATTTGCTGTTATAATCGAGCGCAAGAAAAAAAATTCACTCGATAATGTGGATGCGTGGGCTAGTTCATAATTCATACTTGGATGGAACAGCGCAGATATAGAGTCACACTCAAAGGCACACAAGAAGGAAACAGAGTCGCAGCGCTGACTAACAACTCAGTCCTATATTTCTTCTTCCTCAAATCGTCAACTTCTTCTCCTTCGCCGTTAGTGAGAACATTTAAAATTTTTAAACACCAGAAACCAAATAGCCAATAAACATAAATAAATAAATTAATTAATTAATTACAACTAAAAATTAAATTTAAAATAAATTAAAATATAAACGAAAACAAATTAAAAAAGATAAAATTTAAAAAACTAAAAATAAAATAAAAAATCCCCATCACTATTGGTGCTTTGATGTTACTTCAAGATAATTGAATCTTTTTCTTTTATAAAGCTAGGAATGGAACACTGACGCATTGCTTGTCCAACCTGGCTATTTTTTCAGCTTGGATAACTTCTCGTGTCAGCTGATTGCCACTTCGGGCAATAACAGCGCAGTTACTCAAGTCCGCTGAACACCCGCAATCCCGGCAATGGATGCCTAGATTCCCTGATATTACTCTGTTTATGTTATAGTGATGATCTCGTAACCGGTCATTCAGACACCTCCCGGTTCGCCCGACGTACTGTTTACCGTATGAGAGGGGAATTGCATAAACCACCCCTTCAGAGCACGGAACAAAGCGGGTGTGATGCTCTTTTATACAACCTAAGGTTCTATCGCACGATGAATTGACTTTTTTACATAAACTAGAGAGCGTGTATTGAGCAAAGAATACTACCTTGACGTTTACGCGGTTGTATCGTTTAAAGACCATGAGAAATATGCTGAATATAAGGCACAACCGCTGGCCTCTGGTTTCGGTCCCTTTTCTTACATTGGGTTAAATCGGGATTTTTAATTTTCTGAAGGAGTTGAAGGACTGCGTGATGCACCTCAAATACCCCAGCCTAGCGGTTGTACTGCACTGGCTAAATTGCTCATCTACAGCTGGGAGACCCGTCGCCCGCTGAGGCAGAACAAGTTCTAGGCTGTATAAACATACACACAACCCAATTTTTTTCAGCAGCACACTAGTACCAGTTGAACCTCTAGCGTACATTATAATAACTGTATGCTCACGTGCACCAAATGATAGCGCTATAATCACCGTTTTACGCACATCCGCAGTAGAA